AACATCTTTTCTCAATTTTAATCATTTCTTTTTTTTTTTTTTTTTACAATTTGAGAATGTCACGAATCTTGTGAAATTTCTAAATCTTATCGATCCAACGTATACACATTCACATTGGATTATATAATAATATTGCATGACAAAACGTAATTGTAATTATAATGACAAAATGCCATCAAATGTCAAAACGGAAGAGAATGTCACGGAACTCGTGTGAAAATTATTAAATGTCGGATGAGAGAGATCGTACCATGTGACAAAATACAATTGCAATTATAACGACACGAATACATTACATTGTCACGATGTAATCTGAATAGTTTGAGAATCGACTTGTAAATTCTAATTACAATTGACAAAGTAGAATTAGTGCAATGTAAAACCGAGATAATCTGAATAAATTCCCTTGCTCTCGTCTCGCAGAAATGATTCGACACCGAGTAAGAAGATGGCTCTCCCGAGTCACAGGACGTATTTCCAATCGTAGGTAAGCAAATTGACGCTTGACTTTTTGCAGGCGGTGGACTGGTGGAGCGTGGGCGTGTTAACGTACGAGCTGCTGACCGGCGCGTCGCCTTTCACGTTCGAGGGGGAGAAGAACTCGCAGCAGGAAATTTCGCGGCGAATACTGAAAAGCGAGCCGCCGATACCCAGCTACCTGAGCCCGATCACCCGAGACTTCATCCGACGTCTCCTGATGAAGGATCCCCGCCAGCGACTCGGCGGTGGCCCGGGCGACGCGAAAGAGCTGAAGGAGCACTCGTTCTTCAAGAAAGCGCCAGCGCCGTTCAGCTGGGAGGCGCTGAAGAGACGCGAGATTCGCCCGCCGTTCGTGCCGAGGATCACCCACGAGCTGGACACCAGCAACTTCTCGGAGGAGTTCACGAAGATGATCGTGGCCGACAGCCCGGCCGTGGTCCCGCCCAATTTCGAAAAGATGTTCCGAGGTTACTCGTACGTGTCGCCGTCGATACTGTTCAGCGACAACGTGGTGAGCAAGGACATCTTCAAGGAGGAAGAAGGAAAGGAAGGAGAAGCGACGAAGGGTACTAGCACCGAGTGCTGCCAGCCCTCGACGTCGTCGGACGTGTTGGCAAGCAGATTCGAGGAGTCGACGTTCTTCCAAACGTACGAGCTGGATCAGCGGGAGGACGCGTTGGGAGACGGTAGTTTCTCCGTCTGTCGCAAGTGCAGGCATAGGAAGACGTCGGAGCAGTTCGCTGTGAAGATCGTCAGCCGTAGGCTCGATTGCGGCAGAGAGGCCAGTTTGCTGAAGACTTGCCAGGGCCATCCGAACGTGGTGAAACTGGTGGAGGTCCATCTGGACAGGGTGCACACGTACTTGGTGCTGGAATTGTTGTCCGGTGGGGAGCTGTTGGGGAGGCCGAGGCCGTTCAGCGAGCAACAGGCCAGAAGGATAATGCGGCAGCTCGCCTCTGCGGTGCGTTTCATGCATTCCAAGGGCGTGGTCCATCGGGACCTGAAGCCAGAGAACATCGTGTTCGTCGACCAGAGCGAGGACTCGCCGGTGAAGATTGTGGACTTTGGCTTCGCCAGGGTGAAACGTGGCTGCGAGCCTCTGCACACTCCGTGTTTCACGCTTCCGTACGCGGCACCGGAGGTGGTGGCCAGGCAGGGCTACGACCAGAGCTGCGACCTTTGGAGCCTGGGTGCCATTTTGTACGCCATACTGTCGAAGAAGCCGCCGTTCGAAACAGACTCTCCGGACCTGGCAACCAGAATCCAAGCAGGTGAAATCGACTTTGACAGTGAGTCTTGGAACCATCTGTCCAGTCTCGCGAAACAAGTCGCCAAGGGCTTGTTGACGGTGGACCCGAACAAAAGACTGACAGCCAACGACCTGGTGAATCATCCGTGGTTGAACGAGATTAATTCGTGCGACGTGGTCACCACGCTGCACAATTCGAGCACGGTGTCCTCCTCGGAGAAGCCAGAAGGCTTCCGATTGCGCGAGGTCGGCGGAGCCAGGCTTGCTCAGCGTCGTAAGTTGCACAAACGTTCTACCTCCAGTTCTGTCTCCTCTTCCGCTTCCACCACATCCTCCAGCCCCTCTGTACAGTTACTTCGGCCACCAAGCGCCGCCACTGTTCTTACGACTTCCGCCTTGCCGGCGCAGCCGAGCGCCTTCGACTTCGACGAGGACAAGGTGAACGAATACCTCAGCTCCTTGTCCTCGTCCTCCGACTCCAATTCACCGAGGATCACGCAGCAAGAGCAGAGTAAAAAGCGACGCAAACGAGACGACGAGGCAAAGGAGGAAGAGAAAAGATCGAAGAGGCACAAAAGGCACGCCGATTACAGCACCGAGATGTACAAGAACAGGACCGGCCCGGTGACCAGGTCCAGGAAAAGGAAACTACAGGAGCAGACGAACGGGGACGAGCCGTCCGCGATGATACAGCCATGCGAGGCGACGAGTCACGCGGAATCTGGCGAGAGCCATCGGAAACAGAAGGCTGGAAAACGGCCGAAAAGGATGGCCACTATCATCGTAGAATAAAAATTCGCCTCGTCGACCCCCCTCTCTCTCTATCTTTCTCTCTCTAACTATCCCTGAACATTCTCTCGGGAAAGTAAAAAATGAAAAAAAATGAAAAAAAAATGAAGAAAAAAGGAAATTTAAAAAATACTAAAACCGACTTGGTGAAAGAAAAAAAAAAAAAAGATCGATTCGTCTAAGCTGTAAAATATATAGAAAATGTGCCTCTGAAAAAAACGATTCATAAAAGGTGTACGCGCGCGCGCGCACGCGCGCGTTGGTTTCAATCGACGAACATACGAATTTTAATTTTAATTTTTCTTTTTTGTTTTCTTTTTTTTTTCGAGGGAGGGGGATTGGAAACGAGAAACTTAAGAAAGGCGAAGTTAGAAAGCGCGTGTACCCCTTCTAGTTATTACATTAAGCAAAAGTAAACGTATTGATGGTGTACGCGTTATTATTATTGATTATATACATATTCTATATAGATAGGAAGATTGATTCGAGATGGTTCTGTTCATACGAGCATACACTATATCGGATACATGCTATTCTTATACGTTGATTTTTAGTCATAAATCTTTATAAAGTATTGTACGTACATATAAATATATATGTATACGTTCGACTTCGAATTGTCCTTTTTTCGAGTCATTCTCTTTCCACGTTGCGCACCAGATCAAGGGGAAAGACTCGAAAAAAAAAAAAACGTTGGAGTCGAGCCGAAGTTGAGAATATAGTTCGATACGATTTTTATCCGATCATGCTGCGTTCTTAGACGTTCGATTTGTACAGAAAATTTCATTTAATTCTTAGACACGATGATATTTGATTTCGGTTAAGCAAGGTATTAGACAAGTATCATTTAAAACGCAGGGTTTATGAGTTTCCCTTGGCTTTCTCGACACTTTTGTTCTCTTCTCACTTTTTTCAAAATGAAACTTTCTTACGGCATAGGATACGTTTATTTTCTTAATGACGGTTGTATTTGTGATTCGAGGATGATTTTCAAAAATTGTGAACGGCCCATGATCGTTCACGTCGTTTTATCGTCACACGTTTCAATTTTAGTGTAATCAAAAAAGGTAAAAATCAAGGCGTACACGTTGTACTTAATTTTTTGTTCGATTCTTCGCTTTGTCTTGCTGATTGTAAAATTATCATTTGCACGATATTATATTTCGTCGACGATTTTTCTTCCAAGTGTACTTGCGTCTGCATCTTCCATGCCGAAAGAAAAAGCAAACTAACTTTTCAAAGTACAGCGTAACTTCCGTCAGTTTGATTTAGAAGAGCAAACCTTGATTTGCAATTAGTCTCGCTGTGTTAAAGATGTTACGAGCAGACCTGCGAGTCACCATACGATACCTTAACGCGTAGACTAAAAGAAGGAAGAGAGGAAGGAAAGTGATGATGACTGCTGTGAAAAAAAAAATATATAAAGTGCGATGTTAAAAGAGATAATAAGGAAAAAAAAAACAAAGTAGAAATAAGAACGGGGTAGAAGGCAAGAAGGAAGAAGCAGAGTGGTGGATGAAGACTGAACATGGTTGTACACGAACTCAGGGAATAGAGAAACGCAACCGAAGAAAAAAAAAAACAATTCTCTTAAATCGATTATACAAAGAGAATGCGTGAGAGCGTTCCACCAAAGACGGCCGAAGGCTTTGGTCCTTAGCAAAATCGCTCTGTGAAGATCAAAGAAGAAAAAAAGAAACAAAAGAGAGAGAAAAAAACAAAAATATTTATCGCGAGACAAGTGTAAATTTTCGCAGAGCGATTTTATATATATATATATATATTCTCAGATATATGCATCTAGAAGAAATCAATTCTTATATCTGCTGTTACGTTATTAAAGAATTGTTAATGAGAGAAGAGATGGATACGCGAAGAGGATATAACCATTTTCTCTCTCGTTAACAATCCTTTAATAATAATAATATTATATATATATATATTAATTGTAATATTTAACTCTGTAATATAGTATTTCTATCTGATCGGAGAGCGATGTCTGGTACACGCTTTAGTATAGTTTTCACACGTTTCTTTTCTACATGTTATATGATTTGACAACGGAAAGAAGAGAGAAAGACCGAATGACCGATCATCGGCAAACATGTGTTCGTATTGCTCGTTTTTCTGAATGGAAACGTTTCTTCTTTATAACAAGTGAAATCGTACGATAGACCCTTTTTCACCCCTGAGGCAACAATCGTATATCCTACGTATAGTTGTGTACAGATTTAAGCTTTACGTCATTACGACACACAGAGTGCTGTTCCGTTATGCTATAAATACATAAGAGAAACGAGATACCTTTGTTACTACTGGTTGTTAAATAAATTATAACATGATATTTATTTACATAACAGATATTTTCACTCGCTTCGTGCGAAACTCCGTTCGTTTGTTAAGATCAATACTCTTTTGCCTATTAATTAATTACTTTGTAAACAATCCCAAGAACTTGCCAATTTTGTTTAACTCACTCGCGTACTGTGAATACCGTTGCATTGCCAAGATCGATGATCGAGAAACTAGGTGTCTTGATAATAATTTTCACAATGCAAAATGTGCGTACAGCTTTGTCCGATTTCTTTCAGTCTTTACTATTTAGTTACTTGATTAGTTCACGAGTATAGTTCGAAAAATTTATTTACAAAGTCTATGGAATCATTTACGATTTACAGAATCAAAGTCCCTTTACACGCGAGCCAGTTCTAGCCGAAAGTTAATTGACCTCTGACAACAAATTCAACGTCGATCATTTTTAAATCTAAAAATAGTGATCAAAACAAATTCACAGGCTAGCAACTGTTTTTGACAGTATATTGACGATAAAGCAGAGTTGTTATTAGAATTCCTTAACTAAATAGAAAAACATGTACTGCACTAATTTTTCACTTTGAATCAAATCTTGATTTATGAGAATTGTAAATATTTATTATTTTTACATCAATTTAATTTACTTACTTTAATTTTTTTACATTACATTAATTTAACATTAGATTTTGAATTATTTGTGTTTGAAGGAAGGAAAAAAATATAACCGATCCTGCCAGGATTCGAACCTGGAATCTTCTGATCCGTAGTCAGACGCGTTATCCGTTGCGCCACAGGACCGTGTTCTACATAACGGATGTTGTTTCTAGTACATAAATAGTCGTAGAAATATTTTTTCTCTTCCTACATACACATATACACACATATATTTATATTTTAATCATAATTAGGCACCTATATTGCGTTAAAAATATTTTTTTTTAGTTTAAGAAAAAATAGGTAAATATGAACTACTATATTACACGTAGAATATAAGAAACAATTATTTTCAATACTGTATCGTGTAGTTTCTTCTTTAAATTTTAAACATAATACTTCAGCGAGTATTTGAGTTTATAATACAGCAGTATTTGTAGAAATATTTTCTCTCTTCCTACATATATTTATATTTT